TCACCACATCACAAAAACATCAGTAGACAGATTTTCACAAATTCAGAGAGTGTAACTAAGTGAGTTGTACCTCAGATATAAGCCACATGGCACATATAAGCCATTTGGGAGTGGGGACAACATGAAGAGTTTGCAGTTCATGCATTGGAGCTGGATGATATCCCTGAGGGATGTTTCACACACACAACTCCATAGGGCATGTCCCCAAGGCAAACAGTAAGCTAGTGATAAGGGGATATCTAACCAGAATTACTCTCCCCAGGCAAGAATTGGCTGGCCCACTTGGAAGGGCAGAAGTCACAGGACAGAAGAGAAAACATTACTCTTTCTTAGTGTACTACATCAAAAAGACAGCAATAGAAAAAAAGAAGGGTGCTAACATTGATGAGTGCCTGCCAGTGGTGCTAAGCACAGAGGAGGGAGGGAAAGACAGGAGGGAAGCTATAACAAGTGAAAGCCATGGAGCCTCAGGAATACAACAGAGGAAACAGTTGCTTCTCCTTGGGAAAATCAGGGGCTCAGGGAGTTGCAGTGGGGTGGTGATAACAGATTGGAAAAGCCAAGCATTCACCAGGTGAGCAAGCAGAAGAAAGGAGTTACAGACAGGTAGCAGCATGAGCAAAGGAGTGGAGGCAAAAGAGTAATACTTGGGAAAAAGCTAGTGGTTTAGTATTTCAAATATGCACGTATGCATATGCATCTGCACATATATACAAATATTCACAAATAAATGTATAGATGTTTATGTGCATATATACGAACACATATGGACACATATACATGTTGTAGCTGACTCTATTGCTGCCCTACCCACATCCTCTCATCCTTACCATTTGGGTGTGTGCACACGCTCACACTTCTAACTGCCAGTACAGTTAGTCCATGATGATACTTCGACTTAAGCAATATGCATTCAGTAGAATATGTACCCATACAACTACTCTGCTTTTCACTTTAAGTGCAGTTTTCAATAAATTTAATGAGCTATTCAGTACAACATTACAAAATAGGCTTCGTGTTAGATGATTTTGTCCAACTGTATCTAATATAAATGTTCTGAGCATGCTGAAGGCAGACTAGGCTAAGCTCCTATGCTTCAGTAAGTTAGGTGTGTTAAATGCATTTTTAACCTAAGATATCTTCAACTTGTGATGCATTTACCAGAACATAACTCCACCATAAGTTGAGAAATATTTGTTTTTGTGTTTCTGCCTCTTGCTGCTAAAGGGCACTTTGCCACTTGAGGGACAGCCTGGAAATGCTACCCAATCAAGACCCTCTGGGAGCAGCCCTCAACCAAAGCCTGGTTGGAGTTGGTGTGTGGGTATTTCAGCTCTCTCACTCCTCCAGTGAAAACGTTCTGAGGCATGAATTTTACACTGGTTTCCAGACTTTCCCCAGCAAGACTAAGCTCTGGTCACACACAACGGTAGCTCATTTGGTGTCAAAGTCTATTTGCATTCTTATATCAAAATATCTGAGAGTGGGTAACTTATAAAGAACAGGAATTTATTTCTCACAGTTCCGAACACCAGGAAGTCCAAGATGAAGGTGCTGGTAGGTTTTGTGTCTGGCGAGGGCTGCTCTCTCTCCTTCCAAGATGGTATCTTGTTGCTGCCACCTCTGAAGAGGAGGAACACTGCATCTTTACATGGCGGGAGTGACAGAAGGGCAAGAGAAATGAACTTCCTCCTTGAGCCCTTATATAAGGACACTTGGCCATTCATGAGAGCAGAGACCTCATGGCTTAATCAACCCGTAAATGTCTCACCTCTTAATACCACCATAATGAGGATTAAGTTTCAACCCATGAATTTTGGGGACCATTCAGACCACAGCACTTGGTGACATCCCTCAACTGGCTGCTTCTTCACCCTTGTCTGCCCTCCACACTCTTCTGCCAGAGTCTTCTGTGTCTCCCAAATAAACCACTTACATGTATATACTTGTCTCAAGGTCTGTTTCTGGGCATCCAATCTTAGACATGGAAATGTGTGTGTTTATATTTGTATTTATAGGCACACTTTTGTATATTTATATATGTGTGTATAGATACATGCAATTATAGATATAGAGATATACATACAAATATATAGTCACATGAATACTATACACATGCTTAAATAATGTTTATATTTCTCTACATATACATCTTTCTATTTTTACCAAATCACAACAGGTTATTATATGCAGTCCTCATTTGTACAAGGAGGCAGCCTAACATTCTCAACACCCCTCTGGTAGCCTCCTCAGTGGGGCATTTGACCTTGCACAGGTCCTGTCTAAAGCCCTTCTCCAGCTTTGCCCTCTCACACAGCAAGCCACCCGCACACACCTCACACGCCAAAGCTTCCAAGCTGGCTGTCACGGCAACACTGGGAAACTCCATGCCTCCTCGTTACAGAGCCAGGCCATACATTTAGAATATTCCATTCCAAAGTGAAGATCTCCACAGTTACCACCCTCAAGAGAGGGCCATTTGCTGCCAAGACATTACTTTTTTTTTTTTTTAGTGTACTCCATCAAAAGATAGCAAAAATGAAAGAATATCAGAAACCAGATTATTTTACTAACAAGCTACCAAAAAGCAAGATTACATCTCAAATGTTTGTTTTCATAAAAGAAAAACTGCTCTTATGACACTCCCCATACCCAAGCTGACACACAAATGTCCTATCTTCAAGCAAGAACTCCACTGTCTCTTCCATTTATTCTATTAATCTAAAGACTGGCATCAGGAACATAATCAGTCATTAGTTGCCCTTTGAGTGCTGACGGTGGCACTGCAGAAAACTAGAAAGAATACAGGAATACAGGAAATGAAAATATAAGGATATGAGAAAGGAATAGACTCTAGGTCTGGGAAGAACTCACTAGGGAGGAAAACTTGGTGTTTCATTCATCACGCATTGTGTTTAAAAACATATGAATCAGAATGCCTGCAGTACATTTAGGCTTGTGACCCCTGTACATATTAGCTCTAAGCTCATTTCCAGTTTCAGCACTGGATAACTCTGGCTGGCTGTCACTGGTACAGCTGCAGGAACTTTCCATCCTCCTTACCACCTTCTAAATTTCCTCTCCAAGGAGGCTCGGCTGCCTGACCTTGGCACACCTTTACCGGGAAAGGCAATTCATTCAGGTACACATTTACAATTTCCTATTGAAATATGCCTTGATTTTCCTCAATCTACTCCCAAAAGCATGAGATTAATTTTAAAAACTATTGGGAAACTTTATAGCCTCCAGTATGGAAGAAATAAAATCGAGAAATGGGTAATATTTAATGGCAAATAGAAATCATTTACATAAAAAATTAAAGCTATTTAGGCCGGGCTCACACAGTGGCTCACACCTGTAATCCCAGCACTTTGGGAGGCCAAGGCAGGTGGATCCCTTGAGGTCAGGAGTTTAAGACCAGCCTGGTCAATACAGTGAAACCCCATCTCTACTAAAAATACAAAAATGAGCCAGGCATGGTAGCTCAAGCCTGTAATCCCACATACTCAGGAGGATGAGGCAAGAGAATTGCTTGAACCTGGGAGGCAGAGGTTGTAGTGAGCTGAGATTGTGCCACTGCACTCCAGCCTGGGAGACAGAGTGAGGCTCCATCTTAAAAAAATTTAAAAAAAAATACAGCTATTTAGTCATAATTAGCAGGAGAGGAACAACATGGAAGTTAAACTGGAATATGCAAGTTCATGCTCATTTTCATTAGTACATTACTTTTGTGTTTTTTATATATTATCATATACATGATGTATATTACATATGTTTCATATGTAGATATATAGAGATACACATATATACTCTTCCTGCCTCTGTTCCTTTTTTTTCCCCCTTCTCCCCCATATAAAAACCATCATACTTGGTCATATTTCTTCTAATCTATATTCTCTAGCTTGGGTGTATTTGTGCTGCAGGAAGGAGGAAAGATTTTTGAAAACACATGTAGAGAAATGACAAATGCTGTGATTTATGCTGATCCACATATGATTCTGCTTTGGTGAAATTAGGATGCTATAGTTCCTCAGGTACTTTCCTTTTAATATTCTGAGAGACATACTGAGTCACAAGTGACTTGGAAAATGTATGTTCTTTATTATAACATATTAAAAGCTTAAAACATAGATGGTTGTACTAACTCCCTACTGTAAAGAACTTGTAGCAGCTGATTAAGACTAGATTCCCTGTCACTATCACCACCACTGATTTCACCCTAAATTTAACATATATTAATTTAAAATATCCCCTCAAAGTTGTAGCATGTGCCAAGTTCTTTTTATATGTAAGCATGCAGAGAGATTATTAGTATATGGATTAGAATTCAGCAATGCTTAGAAAGACAAGCCTGTGACTTTGTCGCACTGATTCTTCTTCTGCCCTGAACCCCCAATTTCAAGAGATTTCCTCCTACCCACTCTGCAACCTGTAAATGATCAGTCCTCAGACCAGGTTCCCTCCCCTCAGGATGCACGGAGGCAAGCTGTGTTTGTTCCCATTGCTTCTTGTTTGGCTGCGCTAAAGAACCAAGCAGCTGTCTCAGCAAGAAGCCCCTCAGCCCCTGAGGAACAGAAAATCCATGCTTTCTCCCGAAAAAGGAGGTACATGGAGGAAAATCAGCCTCCCTTCCTCATGCTTCAGAGCAGAGGTTCTCAGTTGGGAGCGAGTTTGCCCTCCATGGGGCATTGGGTGGTCTGCAGACATTATGGGTGGTAGAGCTGGAGGGTTTTACTGACATCTCGTGCGTGGAGCCAGGCGACCTTGCTAAACATACTCCAATGCACAGGACAGGCTCATGAGGAAGAATTCCCCAGCCCGGAATGTTAGCAGCACTGAGCCAGGTGGATGAGCTTTTCCCTGGGCCCCACATCAGGAGAGAATGACTATTCCCCAAAGAGGAGACGAGGGAGAGGCTGCAGAGACTGGGGGTGCTTTTGGCGAGTGTGAGCAACGCTCAGCCCAAAGGACACCCTGGGAACATCCACAGCAGGACTTACAGTGCAGGAACACTTGGTACATTTGCTTCCTTCCGGGTAAAATTCCTCTCCTTCTTGATACTGGACACCCTCAAACACACACCCTGGAAAACAGAGAAGAGTTTAGAATTAGGGCAGTAGCCATTGTCGTTCAGCCTGACACGATCCTTCTATCCACAGCTCATCCATCACCCACCTACACGCAGCCAAGTGTCCTCTTCAACCAGCGGACAAGACTGCTAAATTGTGACAAGAAAAAACAGACGCAAAAGATGGGCATGGGACCCAGAACGCCAAAGATGCTGGAAAACAAATAAGACAGTGCAACCCAGGTCAGCCCAAGGGGGAGCAGTGCACCATGGAGAGCCCTGCAGCGGGTCCTGGAGCTGCATGGTGACCATGCTGCACACTGCCAGAAGGACCAAACCCAGAGGGGCCAGAGAAGGCACATGGAAAGCCAAGGGAGAGAAGTCAACCATGAGCTCAGAGCAGATGATACCAGGGGCCCCACTCGATTAGAATGGCACAGCCTCTACCGGGTCCTAGGTACACCAGTCTCACGCCATATCCCCAGCAATCCGACACAGTAGGGACTTGCATCATTCTTTTCACAGATAAGGAAAACATGGCTCAGTAAGGGGAAAGTAAGCCTCCCAGCTGGCAGATGGCAGAGCTGGAATTCAAAATCAGTTCTGACCCATCTGCTGCACTGTTCAGAGGGCCAGGTAAAAAGGCAAGAAGGGGCATAGGTAGGACACAAGGTATCACACAGGTTTGCAGCCCCACCCTCTCTGTTAAAGAGACTGTGGCCCTCTCCAACTTTGCGCTAATTATAGGATCAAAACCCAGGAGATGTTCCCTTTTCAGAAAGACGCCCAGGACACTGCCAAATTCCAAAGAGAGGTTATAAATGGTATGATGCACAAGCCAGACAGGAACCCCATGTCACACAGGCCATGGGACAATGATGAGTTAACAGCAAAGCCACTTTCCTAAGGACTGACCTCACAAGGTACTAGACCAGGACAGCTGAGGTCACTTTCTCCATGGAAGACAGTGCTGGGAGCAGAGCTAGCAGTGGGCAAAACTTAGCCAAAGCAGGGTCTCGTGAAAGACTGTTCCACGCCCCTGAGAATGAATGTTCAAGGCCTGCCAGCTAAAGCCAACTGCAGAACTCACCAAACTCTTGGAGCAGCTGGTTCCTGACAAAGAAGAATGGGCATTACGCCCACCTGATCTGGCCACTGACCTTATTCATCTTAAAGCTAGACACATAGCCCTTTGTTAAATGGAAGACAGGCAGACAAGCGCTACTGAGCCTGAAGTTGCATCACCAAGTGAAACTGCAGTTTAAAAAATGCCCCAGGCATAAGATCTCTATACTATTGGCAAGCAGAGTTAGCAATCAACCAGCTCCTTGCTATTCTTCATGATGCCACAAGGCTTGGTAAGTGTGGGGCCCTCCTAGTGGCTATATCTCACCACTGTTACTATGGCAGATGCCTGGTCGTCTCTCTTTAAGGTGCACTTCCAACAAGGCAGGCTTAATCTTTCATACATGTTTGCACCATGAATTTTGTCATACAGATTGCCAGATTAACTACAACAATCTACCCTTGACGACTTAAAGGAATTTTAAATGAAAATTCTATGCAAACTGTTTCCATCACAACCCCACCATTCCTGAGCAGAGCTCAGCGAAAAGGAAGGAGCAGTCCACTAAGAATGCCCTAAAATCTGCGTGTTTGTCATTACACAGAATACCATTCCCTGATCAATGCCAGTCTTTCTGAATGACCAAAGAGAATACCCAAGGCTTCTCTTGACTCTCTATATCTAGATTTACCTGAAGCCTCCCTCACAAGACAAAGGATAATGCCTTGTGGATACAGTTCCTTCTGGATCTTCCAATTTGCAATCCAAAGATTGGCCTTTGGAATTAAGGAGAGGGAATGAAATTGATTCATGACCCCATAACTGAGGACACAGAGCCTGCCCAGGTGTCAGGGGACTGGTGGGTAGCAGTGGCATGCCAATTCTTAAAGATTTGCCTGCCAGGGCACCTGCACCTAAGCTTCTCAATTCTCACGGTGTGTGTGGGCATGGGAGGTAGTGCCCTTTGGTGGCCAGAAAAGAGGAGGGGCCAGACCCTGACCCCACCTTTGACCCTTACTCACTCATGGACCTCAGGCAGGCACTTATTCTCAGTGGGCCTAATTTATTCTTGTATAACCAGAGGATGGTTGTAAGGACTTATCACTGCAATGTGAGCAGTCATGGAGTTCAGCACTTTACTTCCTAGAAACTCAACCAAAAAAAGAGTGGAAGATGCAACGGCTCAAACATGATAACTTCAGCTGCTGAAATACATCACTCTGCTGTTTGTGTACCCACAGTTTCAAAGGCAGTCTGAAAATATGACTATCTCCTAAGTGAGGAGAATGTTCTATAGGGTAAGAGGTCTTGAGCTTTAAGTGTTTATTGCATTATTGTTGGTCCATTAAGGGTCCCTTGGTTATGAGTAGTGGGGTGCTGTGAGTTAGTTCTGTCTCAATAAAGCAACAGTCTACTCAACACAACTGAATTCATATTTAAGAGCTATAATTATTTTTATTTTATTTTTTCTTTTTTTTTTTTGATAGGCAGTCTCGCTTTTGTCGCCAGGCTGGAATGCAGTGGCTCCATCTCAGTTCACTGCAACCTCCACCTCCCAGGTTCAAGCAATTCTTCTGCCTCAGCCTCCCCAGTAGCTGGAATTACAGGCATGCGCCACCATACCCAGCTAATTTTTGTATTTTTAGTAAAGACGGGGTCTCACCACGTTGGCCAGGATGGTCTCGATCTCTTGATCTCGTGATCCACCTGCCTCAGCCTCCCAAAGTGCTGGGATTACAGGCATGAGCCACTGTGCCCAGCCAATATTTTTGTAAACTATATGGTATATAAAATATTCTCTGTTATCAATGTCAGGGTTGGCTGTGTACAGAAATTATCTGGGAGATTTGGGAATCCAGAGTTCCTCAGAGATTCTGATGGAATTGGTTTGGGATGCAGTATGAGCATCAAGATTGATTTTTATTTATTTATTTATTTTTAGGATTTCCAGGTGATTCTAGACTGTAGCCTGGACAACTACTCATCTCATTTAATAAAGATCCTGTAGATATTTAAGGATATGGTTAGGCAATACAAACCTTTCAGCACATTCAGAGGGAAAAGTACTCAAGCAAACTCTGCTTGATAGATAGAAAACAACTGGATGATGGAAAAAAATGGTTTTACTTTCAACCAGTTTTTGGCTTTCACGTAAGCTCATGAAGAATACAAGCTTTACAGAAATCCCAGAGTGAAAAAGAAGCTGAATAAAGACGGCCTGGGGAGCTGAGGAGGGTTAGCCATAAGTGGAAACTTGCTGTCCTTGTCATTCAAGGGTGAGAAAAGGCTGAACTCTGAAAGGGACCATGCCTTCGAGACTGTGTGGAGGAAAAGTGGCAGGTGCCTGAGAATGGAGCAGAAGCTCATCTCTGCAGAGCTCCGGTGGTGCCTTAGCCACTTCACAGGAAGTTTCCAAGAGCAGTAAGGCCCTTTGGAGATTAACCTCAAAAGCAGAGCAGTAGTTGTTATCACCACCCTTGAGGAAAAGCACTCAGAGAAAAAAAAAAAACAACCCCAAAACGCAGAATACCTGTCAGAGACTATTGGCCAGTGGCTTAAGAGATCAGAAAAAATCTCTCACCTCAAAATCCCCAGGCTTGTATGTAAGGGCAGGAAAAGATGCAGGAGATCTTTGTAAGCCTGTTCAGAAAAGTAAAAGGAAACGTTCCAGCCACTGCAAAAGAAAGATCCTTTCGCTGTCAGCTAGGAAGCAGGGCCCTCTATAAAAGACAAGAGGGTCCACCTTGTTGAACCACACGGAAAACTGAGACCAGGAAAACCCTAAGCTAAATTCACTTTGGGACACAGCTCTCAGTTTTCAGAAAACATCTGGTTGCCTCATCACCACGGCGAGCTCTGGCCATGGTTTTGCAATATGAAGCAGTAAAAAGACATTTCTGGAAGCCAGAGAAAGCCACAGCCTTTTCTTCCAAAATAAGCATTACCTGTGGCCCTGTGGAGTGGAAAGCAGGCCCCGGAGCCTGGAGAACCCCCATGCCAGGACCTCCAGCACATTGCATTCATGCTGGGCATGCCAAGGAGGCCAAGCGGATATTTCTGTGCAAAGGAGCTCGCTCTCTAAACCCATTATGTACACAGATGTAAAGTAAGGAAAATTTCCAACAAGAGGGGTTGGGAGATTCAGGCATTCCCGAGAGAACACACACGGATTTCCAGCCTTGTCTCCCTGAGAACGTTACCTGGACACGTGGGGCAGCACATTCCCAGATGCTCCAAAGGGTTTTGACAATGTACCACACAGCGTACCTCAGACTCTGTGACAACGCCCTCCTGAAACACAGAACACCACAAGCAACGTTAGCCCGGAATTCCCACGGAGTTACTACTTTTGGAAAGTGACCTAAGTAGCAGAAGTGTCCAAGCACAAAAACCGCAAGGCTCAGTGGGTGTCGAGTCCAGAGGTACTAACGAGGTGAGAGGGGTGAGATCCCAGCTCACCCCGGCCAATGCTCTATAACTCACAGTGCACATCTGTCACCTCTTCTTTTCCCTGTCCTTGCTTTCTCTTTGGCCCTAATTTCTTTCTTTCTTTTAAATCCAGTTTTTAAGACCTTCTTGCTGTCAGTAAGCACCCAGCAGAGTCTAGCTGCTCATTCACAACCGTTTTAGGTTTTCCACACTTCCTATATTTTCTGTCATTGTTATTCACATCAAGCCATTAATGGTGAGGCACAGAGTATAAGCATCATAACCCAGACTAGCACCTGGAGATCCTAAATCCCTACCAACCTTCTAGAAATAATTTTAGACCAGCTCTGCAATCTTAGAAATGTCACTCTGCCTCACACATATCCTGGGTCTCAGTTTTCCTCAAACATCAAAGGAAGAGATTAGACAAAACTATTTTTAAGCATATGATATATATCAAAATAGAGACTTTAGGGCTTAGTAATAAAATCAAGTGAGTCATTTGCAAACTGATATTGGGACTTTCATATCACCTTAATGTCAATTGAAATATTTTTAAAATTAATTTTCAGAGTTGGCCTTTGAATGGCTTTCTCCAGTTTCTCTACCCATTTTATGAATGGATTTGTATGTCTGTTTGTTTGGTTTTGTTGTTGTTTTGTGTTTGTTGTTTGTTTTATTTTGTTTTGTTGTATGTGTTTCTGGGCCCTGCTGAGCAGCTACCGGCCAGAGATGCTAGGCAATCGGAGTTACAGGATTAACAATGGATAATGGCTTAATGTGTTATTCAGTCAACAAAATAGTGGCACAGGATGAAAAAAAATGTAACAAATTGACAACTAGGTCATTTTCTTCATCATGTCTGTGACCACATCATCTCAACCCAACAAGGAGGGCTACATCCTAAATGTCTCCATATCATGTCAGGCCTGAGGTTTCCACTTGCTGGAGAATTTGTTATAGCCTATATCACATGGGAAGGAAAGAAACAACTAAAGTATCAGCAATACACAACACCTCAAAAAGATCCATGCTTTAGTTATGTAACTGAAGCAATGCAAAAAGCTATGCATGGACCCAAATCAATTTTCCTTCAGTATCTGCAATCCAGATGGAGGATTCAGGTTAGTTCCCAGCATGAATTTCCTGTCTGTGATCTTCAAATTTTCCTCTTCCCATAAGTAATTAAAGGCAGAAAAGTAAAGGTAAACGTCTCATCATCAGAGCTCCCTTGTTAGGAAGATAGATGAAATAAGGTAGAATTCAATTCAAACAGAACTAGGCCAGATCATTAGACTTCCTGTCATCTGTCTGGGACCTTGTTGTGCCTGGTCCATGTAGGCGCTCTACCAGAAGCATTTTTAATGAAGATGAAGATAGTACTATTTTAACGAAGATGAAGATAGCTGAAGATAGTACTATCTCTGTTTTATAGGTGGTTAAGGTGAGGTAGAGCGAGGTTAAGTAGCAAGTTACGTGAGTGGCAGAATCCATATTTCACCTACTGCCCTACACTGTATCCTCTGTTACTGATTTTGTGCCCTGAGAAAAGAAGAGCATTCGAAGGGAAGTTACCATTGTGTCATTCTACAGAGAAGCAAGAAGACTTCCCTGACAGGTGCCAGTAAATGGCAATTTCCTACATTCCATGACAAAGTCTCACACCTAAAGAAGGGAGCAAGTAAGAAGGAGAGGGAAACTCCCTAGCAGCCTTTGGCAGGTCCCTTCTTCACAGGTTGCTTTTCTGTGTATTGAATAAAATATTATCCTTGCTAGCAGGACACAGGCAAAAATTTAGAAAATGAGGAGAAATGAAAGGCAAAGTTCCTCTTGGGTAGGTAGCAACCACTTTCTGTGCCCCATTTTACAGGTCAGCATATGCTGACTCCCAGGGCTGCTGGACTTTAAGATCTCTTCCAACAATAATTTGAAATTCCTGCATCACTCTTTCTGGGCCCTGCTGAGCGCTACTGACCAGAGATGCTAGGCAATCGGAGTTTCAGGGTAAACAATGGATAATGGCTTAACATGTTATTCAGTCAACAAAATAGACCCTCCCATATAATAGCTAATAGCTTCCACTTGGCCAGGCACAGTGGCTCATGCCTGTGATCCCAGCAGTTTGGGAGACCGAGGCCGGCGAATCATGAGGTCAAGAGTTCAATACCAGCCTGGCCAACATGGAGAAACCCCATCTCTACTAAAAATACAAAATTAGCCGGGCATGGTGGTACATGCCTATAATCCCAGCTATTCAGGAGGCTGAGGCAGGAGAATCGCCTGAACCTGGTAGGTGGAGGTTATGGCTGAGATAGCACCATTACACTCCAGTCTGGGCAACAAGAGCAAAAACTCCATCTCAAAAAAAAAAAAAAAAAAGAAAAGCTTCCACCTAATTTAAACAAAGTCTTCACCCCAAAGGCAGCAAAATTCACCCCTGCTCTATGCAACTTGAGGTTCTTCAAAACCTCTGACTGTTATGTAGAAATACTATTCTAGATTCCAGAGGATATGAGATTGTATTGTTTAACATTGTCACCATGGCTTTGGTTTTCTGAGTGCTCTACCAAAATGTGGAAATTTTGCTAGTCAAGAAGCAGAGCATGAGTGGAGTGGTATAAATTTTGGAACAAATGTGGGCTTTTGGTGTTATGGAAACTTATTGCTGTCATCTCTTTGCAGTATGACACCAATTGAACCTATATCCTGGAGGAAAAACTCAGCAAATATTTGTTGATTTAATAATGTATTATTTATATTTGTTTACTTACTGCTTATTTTCACAAATAACAGATTTCCTAAATAAATAAGTTGAATATTTAACTGAATAAATAGCTGAAGGTCTTATGAATGAGCATACCTATCGTGGCATGTCAGAGGAACATAACTACACAAAATTTAGATTTCAGTAAACTAAATGTCACTATGCTTAAGATCAGAGCTCAGGCCTGTTTTCCTGGCACATAAAGAGGTAGGGCTAGGGGTTCAAGGCCATCCTGGACAACATAGGAAACCTCTCATCCATATAACAAAAAGAATTTGGCTGGGCGCAGTGGCTCACACCTGTAATCCCAGCACTTTGGGAGGCTGAGGCAGGCAGCCTCACCTGAGGTCAGGAGTTCAAGACCAGCCTGACCAGCATGGAGAAACTCCCAACTCTATTAAAAATACAAAATTAGTCAGGCATGGTGGTGCATGCCTGTAATCCCAGCTACTTGGGAGGCTGAAGCAGGTGAATCATTTGAACCCATGAGAAGGAGGTTGTGGTGAACTGTCTTCACTAGATAAAACCTTCCAACTCTTACTTCCAGTTCTAAGAGATCATGCCATTGCACTCCCACCTGGGCAACAGAGTTAAACTCTGTCTCAAAAAAAAAAAAAGATAAGAGCAAAGAGAAATATTACAGTAACATTTCAATCTCCTTTAAATGCAAAAACACATCCTTGGACAACGAAATGGGGTCAGGGATAAAATAATTTAATGGCACCTTCTCTACAAAGAATAATTTTTAAGTTTTGTCAAACTTATATGGGCATAATTTTTAACAGAGTATTTATACAGAGTTTTTGTTTGTTTTATTAAAGTGGGAGTTTGAAAATTTAAGTTTTTCATTTCTGCTTTAGTTTTTCTTGCTGTGTTTAACACCTGACAGGATTAGAGCCATGTAGAATTACTGCTCTGAAACAGAGTTCAGTAAGGATCAGCCACAGTGGACTCCCTAGTTGCTGAATTGGTGGTTTTTTAATTTGCCAGGTTGAAATCATCGAGTTACAGTATACTAATTGCTTCAATGTAATAGTTTACAGGTTGGATCCATTTCAAAATCTTTCTAAATCAAAGAAAGGAAACATACATTATTAACAATACCCCCTTTCTGCTAAGAGGAATTCATGTTTTGCTCACAGATGACTTCACGGGAAGACATGAATTTTCCCCAAGGACGTGTGCATCTTCCTGGAGTTTTTCCAGGCACAGTTTAACAATGGTTCACAATCCTGCTGTGTGTTTCTGGAAGCAAGTTCTATACAATATCTATGCTGTACCTGTTTTGTTATGGCGATTGTCAGAGTAAACACACTCAAGGATACAGTTGCTTTTTCATTGGTTTTTCATTTTTGTTCGGCTTTTTTAGGGTTTTGTTCTGTGTTGTGGGAGGAGGTAACTGAAGAGGACTCTATAGATTCCTTTTTACTGGAGAAAGAAATAGTTGAACTTTACCTGGCACTGGCGTAGAACACAAGGCTCAGCTGGGCTCTGCCATTTGAAGGAGCTGTTATAGGTATTTCCTTCATAGGTGCAACCTAGACAGGAGACACAGAAGCAGGAAGAAAGGCCAAGAATGAATGTGGGTTTCCTTTACATTTTGGAGCAAAATAAGTTATGTTCTCTAAGCCCAGATTAGCGATCGCAGCGACCACCATGCTCTTTGGCTATTTTTCCCAAAAACACAACCAAGCCTTCTAAGTATCCACTTGACGTTCACTTACATTAATTCCTTGACTACTAAGAAGATTAACCTCCTGGATTATATTATCAAGTGCAAAGCCATAGACTGATGAACACTTGTGGCCAAAATGTCTAACCTCATAACTTGATTTATGCCTAATGATGTCTGAGGAGGACCAGAGCTAAAAACATCACTGTGAAAGAGATCTGACACGAGATTAAATTAACTCGAATTTGCTGAAGATCAAGAGTAAAGTTTAAAACATGATAGAAAATCAAAGCAGGAAAATAAAATATAGGAATTGAACTAAAAATTCTATAACCATCTAAAATTCTTGAAGAGCTACTCTCTTCACTAGATAAAACCCTCCAACTCTTACCTCCAGTTCTAAGAGCTATGATTATTTATTTTTTATATTACTTTTAGGTAGTAAATTAGATTAAGCAAATCTGAAACTACCCAAGTGTGGATTATCACATGTTTATTCATTGGCAAAAACAAAGGTCAAAGGCCAGAGATCCTCAAAAGAAGAAATAAGCCAGTTGGAGTCTCCATGGAAAAAGGCCAAAGAAACAATTGTGTGGAGATCACAGCCCAGGTCTTGAGTCAGTTTGTACAACTAACCCTCCGCACTGTAGGTTACATGTTCTAGGAAGATGCACCTGGCTATGGCTACAGTCACTGCATCCTTGGGGGCCCAGTAGCAAAGAGATTTAGCAATACATAGTCTGGATGGCTTAATACAAAAAGTCCAGAAGCAGGAACACCCACATGTGATAATGCAGAAATAAAAGGGCCTGGCTCTCTGTTTCAATGACTGATTTCTGGCAAGCTAATCAACCTCAATTCACATCAGTTTTCCTTGTGTAAGACACAGAGAAAAGAAAGACTCACTCCTTCCATGAGAACTTTTAGATAATACTGTGGTTAAAAAAAAAATCCCTCAATACATTCAAACAGAATAATAAAAGACTTAGAAAAAATTCAATAGATGTTTAATTCCCAAAGAATTATGAATGATTGAAAAGGGCTCAGTAATACTCTGCTCTCTGGTTCCTACAAATCAAATTACTAAAGTACACAGCTGATTGGAAACACATTAGGGAAATGCTTTCGTTATATATTTTTAAATTTCCTTTGCGTGAAGTGTTACAGAGATAAAATGTTCAACCACAGGAACCCCTAGCACACTACAAATACTTACGCCAAACCGAGAATGAATACAGTAAATTTTCAACAATGAAAACCAATATAAAACAATTTGGGCTAGCATAAATCTTACTGAACAAATGTACTTACAAGAAACGTGCCATGTGCATGTCTGATCCACTAACACAGACTCATTCAGATAATAAATAACTTGTTCCAAGAGATGGAGGTGGGGAAATCAGAGAACCAAATCCAATTCATGTTAAGTCCAAGTAAATATGAAATGCCTGCCAAGTCTGCCAGTGGAGTTTCCGAACATGTTATATATTTTCATCATCTGAATTAAAAAACTGAAAGAAAGGGTGATTTTTTGCTGCTAATAGTGCAGGCAAAGATCTTGCCTTTCTGGCTTTGGAGGAGGAAGTGTACTACAAAGTCCATGTTGGCCACAGTTAAGAGACTGTTCCCAAGCAATGCCAGGTCATGTGCACAGGGCTCCCAGGAGGAGCACCAGGCTGCTGGATTATTCCACTCTTTATGGGATAAAAGGTATTGGAATAAATGGTCCATAGTGCAAAGAACCAACAGTGTTTTCTGCTTCAAATAACTATCAGTGAGAAGAGTTGTTCCTCCACCATATTTTACCACATAAAGATTGGACAGTAATACTGGAAAATCGGATGAAGGTCATGTTGTGAAGTGCCCCATTGCTTAACCACCCTTGTTTACACATCATTCTATCACATCTGAGTCCACGTAACAGATCTTCCCAAATGAAGAATTAATCTGAGTGACTGAATAGACTCCAAAACATCTGTGAAAATCTCTTTAGTAAATGTAATCCACACCTTTTCCTTCTTCACCTACACTCACTACCATCAACTACTTATGGAGACTTCAGTATACCAAGCATTAGAGTGGATTTCATATGTAAGGGCTCTCAGAAAAAAAGATAATTAAAGAAAGGATATTTCATTGCTCTTTGGGTTTATGTTCTAAGACAAACATGTTATTTTAATTCAAGAAACTAACTTGAGCTAAATAAATGACGTCTTATTTTCTGTTAGACAAATTTCTTTACAATCAATTCTATTTGCCACCAACTTTACACTGCTAATGGAGTAAACAGAAAATATCTTGCCCTATTTTTATTTATATCCCAGGGAGATGGAATATACTAACTATCTCTTATTGGTCATGGTAGAAAAAGATGCAGACAAATTTTCCATCATACATCCAGGCATTGCTTCCCAAACTCCCTCTAGTGAAAGACCAGTTTTGTTTTGTTTTTGTTTTTTAATCCAGTGTAGATCTTTACTTTTATAAAATATAATAAAAGTGACTTACTAGAAAAAATGAATATCAAAGAGACAAAATATAAGTCCAACTTTTATTATTACATGTAATAGGCATAGAATACACTTCCAAATGATGCTAAATGTTTCTGTTTACTGTCCCTTCCTATACTCATCTTATAGTAGACCAGCACCATAGACCACATTCTGCGACACATTCTGGGACACATTCTGTGTTTAATTCCATTGCGAGGTATATTATGGAAGCAAGAGGAACGACCCAATGAAATAATATAAATACATTCAAGTGTTAATGTTTAGAATAGAAGCAAACTTACAGATATTATAGTTTATCTTTCTACAGATGAGAAAATTTGCACAAAAGGGCTGAAGGGCTTACTCCAAATTAGAATAAATTAGATATGAAACTAACACTAGAATCCAGGTGCTGTGTGAAATTTACATTTTTATATCCAAGTCTAAATTGCTAGTATTATTTTAGCATTTTCTAATTCAGCATAATACCTTTTGCATTGAGGATTTCAGGGCCCAGGAATAAAATCAGCATTTGTCTATATAAAATTAAATCATAGCAGATCTAGTAATTAAACAAAAGAGTAAGTGGCTGGAATAGTTAGATGACTGGTCAGGTAAATATGTAGCAACCAGTAAAGTAACTTTTCTTTTTAAATATTTTAAAAGAAACTCCCTACAAGGAATTTATAAACATTCATTAGTTTTCTTCCAGTGATAAAAAGAATTTGAGATTTTACAATCTTCAATAAAACCATCAGTACTGTAGCAGGAAAATGTGGTGGTTTTCTGACAAAATCACTACAATATCTTTAAACCAGCAGTTCTCAAGTGAGGGTGATTTTGCCTTTCACCCTAACCCCTACCCAGGGGACTTTGGGCAACATCAGGGGACATCGTTGGTTATCACAACTGGGATATATGGAGTGCTACAGGCATCTAATGGGCAGAGGTCCAGGATGATTCTAAACACCCTACAATGCACACCAAGAATTAACCAGCTCAAAATTTCAATTGTGCCAAGGCTGAAAAACCTTAATTTAAACCATCACACAAAACTCAATGGTTCCTCCTCACATCTAAAATAATACAAAAATGAGCCTAAGCCATCTACACTTTCTTTTGTATATATCTTGGCTTTTTTATGTTAATTATTTTCAGGGTAGGGAAGAACTCCAGAGTATTTGTCCTAACATTCATATTCTTGTAGAGAAGATTGGCTTAGCCAACTAGTCAACTCAGAAAACGGGGCAATGAAAACAGGAAGAACATAAATTAATTGAATCCACAGTTAAGCAATAAAACTCATTTTTCCTATTAGTTGTGAAGTTTTTCAGTGGCCACATTATCCCAAGGGAGGAAGAATACCACACATTTTCATCATTCTGTTGTTAAAATAGCTGTTAAAAATCATCAGGACCATAAAAAATGGCATTGGCCTTCTAATGAGCCTTAGCTGTGCCTAGTTTCTCCCATCTAGTCTTAATCCTCTCCTTTTTTCACATTAACATCAATCTAACGGCAAAGAACTGGATCTTAACATTACCAATAACCTACCCCCAGTACCCAAAGCCTTCACAACATGGCCTCAACCAACCTTTCCAGTTCTTTCCCTCCATCCCTTGAACTCCATGTCATTGCCTGGGGTTACTTTCACAGTAAGTTGACATGCTTCTGCATGAATGTTCAAGCTCGTCAACTAAGGCTACCTGGCTTCTGACCCCACCATCCCTCCACTAAAACTTCACTCTCTTGTGCTACAGCTGCCCTCTAAGGGCCCAAGCAAAAGACACTCAGTCTTTATCATCTGGAGCCTCTCTGTGGAGGGCTGACAGTGCTTTCCTTCTTCAACCCCCCCTCCCACACCTTCCAAATGCTCTTCTCCCAGTTATGTCTCCAACCTCTCTACTAGAGCCTCAGCTACTCTGCTGGTTATTTCTCATCTTGCAACAGGCTCACTGACTATTTCTCCTGGTTGTGGTAGGGACCTTTTTTAAGCCATCCTCCTATACAGCGGCCACTGTGTGCTCTTTCTGGTCTGCTCATGTCATTCACAATGACCAGGTGGTGCACAGCCTGGCTGAGGTCTAGACCAGGCACCAACCCCTAGCCCTTTTATTCTAGACAAATTGGATCAGAGTTTCCAAAAGTAGGAAGCAGAAAAGGAATCTAACATGTAGCCAGGATTGAAAACCATGGACCTTTACTATAAACATCAAAGAGATCCCAGGCCTGGCCTTGACTCACCTCTTCATCCTCTTTTCTGCTGTTCCCAAACTTACACTCCCTCCATTGCAGACAAGCTCTAATTAGGATTCTCCCAAACATGGCCAGAAGATCTCATCCTGTGATTTTGCACATGCTGGTCCCTTCTTAA